TTAATTATTAATTTAGGATGTGTGTTCATTTATGCAATGTGTACAATCAAGAGATATTTTCTACCCCTCTGGGTAGAAGCCCATAGCCAAATCTATATCCATGCCAATTTCTAAGTATTGGTATGTTCACATTCTACCGGATTTTGGAGGCAGAAGCTTGTTTTAAGTATAGCTTGCTAATTTGGAGGGAAGGGCTTATTTACACTTTTTAACATCTAACTCCATGGCTAAAATCATGTGATTTTGCACACTACATTACATTAGAATAGGCCCAGTGAGTCAGCTCCTCTGTATCATTAATTCACATGGATCCACAAATAAAATCGTTCGTTCCCTTAGTCGTGTCCCCATGGACCAGGGCACGCCAGGCCCTCCTATCTTCCACTGCCTCCCGGAGTTGTGTCAAATTCATGTTGGTTGCTTCGGTGACACAGTCCAACCATCTCGTCCTCGGTCGTCCCCTTCTCCCCTTGCCCTCACATTTTCCCAACATCAGGGTCTTTTCCAGGATATCATTAATTCACATGAACCCACAAATAAAATAGGCCTATTTAAATCAATGGCACTCAGAGGTGTTGACTCACGAAATCCACAACGGGCCTACTCTAGTGTAATTTTCTATGCAAAGCAACAGGTCTTCAGCCCACAACTCCCTGCTCAACACCAAAGTTGGTGTCTGTATCAAATAAGTAGACAAGCTAGCAGCCAACAGAAAATGCGATTCTTCCCCTTTCCAGCGGCGTCTCCTGTTCTCCGGTTGCATAATCTCTCGCCAAGAGTAACGCCATATATCAAGAATGGCATGGCAGTATAATTAGGAAAGAAGAAAAACCAAGTCTCTTTTGTGTGGCAGCCTGCCAATTCTGTGCTTCTTTGGGAGCAAGTCCCACTGAGTTCATGTCAAAGCTTACTTCCAAGCAAAAGTGGAAAGAATTGTAGGCTGAAGACGAAACCGGGAGATTGCAAGACGCAGTCAATTCCCGGCCACTTGCCATTCTGGCGAGGTCTGCAGGAGGAGGAAACCTGCTGCAACCCGCGGCCACGTGCTGTCAGATTAGTTTCCGTCAATGGCTATGGGACCTGTAGTTATGGGGGCGGCGGGGAAGGGGACATCCATGCAGTACCCTCACAGGCATCAACTTAGTAGAAGGTAGCAGAAAGAGTGTGCGTTGTTGCCACCCCACCCTTTCCGACAGACAAGAAGCAAACCCTGGCTCAGCTTTCACTCACAATCTTAACATTAGCAGCCATTCCAAGTCTTCCGTCCTCTTCCCGGCAGATGTTCCCTCCCTTCTCCTGTAACACCTTAAAACGCTCTGCGCTTTCGCTACTACCCATCTCCTCATTCTCCTTAGATTTGAAAAGAACCCAAAATGCATTCTTAATTTTTATATAATTATAAGTTCATTTTCAATGCCTTTTCAATTTATTTTGCCAAATATGGCTAAATTTGTTTCTTCCGAAACTGCTGAGTTCAAATCGTTACTATTTGTTGTCGAATGTGCGATCCGGGTGTAATTAGAAAATCCTCTTCTGTTCGAACAATACGAATTGCAGAGCCCAAAACTCGTTTTGTTTTAAAAGTAAACAATATCGTACGATATTGCTGCGAGGGTGGGACTATTTTCAACTTAAAAAAAAACTAGATGGTACAGTTTCATCTGCCGAATGTGCTGAACTCGAAATACCAGAGCGATCAACAGAGTCCGAACTAGAATTTCCTCACAGAAGGGGAGAAAAAATGGCGGCAACTGGCGGGTTGGGCAGCCTTTCCCAGGCGCAGAGCCAGTTGGACTATGCGCTTGAGGATGCGATGACGCCTCAGGAGAAGGAGAACCTGGTATATCAACACCTGCAAAAGGTGGATAGCTGGGAGCGGGATTTGAAAGTCCCTGAATTTGGAGCAGGTGAGCTGAGCTGCGAGTAGGGAGTAGGCTAAACCGCCGGGAGGAAAATTGAAGGCAACAGAAGCTGACATTAAAATCCACTCCTTTCCTTCTGCGCGTCCTGAGACGCGCTGAGCCGTTTTCTCTTTATCCTTATCAGGACGACGAGGCCTGTAAAAGGATGTTTGCGCGGCTGATACTTGAATAGGTTTTTGAGTTTGTATTAGCAATTCGAGTTCAGAATCGACTTCACAGAAGGTGCTTTAAACATGTAGAAGTCGCGATAGAACAGTATCCGTGATCACGGACTAAAACTCATATACAAAACAGTCACTTTTGAGATAACTTAGTTTGTTCTAATACTGTAAATCATGTTACCTTATATTTTAGCTCTTGTCCAGACAAGTTGCCTTTGCACGTTCAGGATCCACCTTTAATTTCAAACTGCAATGCAGGATCCTGTCACAATTGTCTCTCTATATATGCCTGTTTTTCTTCTCTCTTTAGACTGACCAAATCTAGAAAGCACTGGTTTCCAACAACTTTAATAGTTGTATAGAAAAAAAGAGCCAAAGGGGGATTTGAGCTCAAATCCTCATTGACCCATGGAAACACACAGGGCAATTTAAGCCATTCCGGGCACATTCATATTTCAAAAACTTTTAGGAAGGGAGAACTGCATACAGGAGTGGGATAGCTATATTTAAAATATCTTAGTGTATACAACTATCACAGTTCTGCATACTCTGCCCTCTCTTGTGTGCTATATCATCCCATCCCTTCAATAGAAGAGTATCTTTTCCCAGAGACTGGCTCTCATTGTTGGACATCAGCTGTCATCTCCCCATAATAACTGCTGGCTGAAGAGTATGGAACTCCTGTCTAACGGCAGGGTAACTGAATATTTCTGTCTGTGGAGGCAGAGGTTGGGAGTTCTATTCCTCACCATGCTTCCTCAGAGAAGAGCAAGCTGCAAAGTAAAGGGTACCACCAGAAGAAGGGAATGGTGAACTATTGTATTCTCTACCTAGATAATCCTGGAAAGGGTCACCATCAAAGTTCCTTCTAAGGTGTGTGCACGACTATATTAGCCTGGCTGAAGCTAAGAATCACATTGCAACTGCAGTTGATAAACATCTGAGATGATCTTAGAACTGCAAAGCTGGAAGGGACCTTGTGGATCATCAAGTCCAGCCCTGTCAAGGAGGCACAGTGGGAAATTGAACTCCCTACCTCTGCAGCCAGATACCTAAACAACTGAGCTGCAGCCTTAGAGCACAATCCTGGACGGCCAAGGAGTAGCTGGTAGGGATGTGCAGTTTCGACTATCTGGGGTACCACTCCCAAAATTCTTCAAGAATATTTGAGGCAGATTTCTCAAAGTTCCAGGCCACAGACCAGACCTACAGACACATTTTCCTCATGTGAATGGGACATAATTCTTCCAGATTGCTTGGCTTTTGGGGGCCTACTTCTTGTTGTCAATACAGTCAACTTACAAATGGCCCTTGTTACAGACATTTCGACTTACAAACCGTTCTGATAGAAAAATATTGACTTGACTTGAGTTATGAACAAAAAAAATGTGTGGGGGGTGGGGAAAGCGCGAAATTTGAACTTTCAGTTAACCGTTGGCCAGTGAAGAGGGTGCTTGTCTGCTTCCTCGCTCTTCCCAGTGTTTTGAGAGTGGATTTGGAGACAGTCTTCAGACTGCCTGGTATAGCCTGGTACAGTGCTGTACAGACTGTATTTTTATTTTTTTGCTTTTTAAAATTTTTGATTTTTGGATTTTTAAAAAGTGTTCCCTCCCTCCTTTGCTGCCCCCCTTTCTCCCAAAAGGTGCTTGTATTGGCTTGCCTTGATTGAAAAGGTGCTTTTCAAGGTGATCTGTTGTCTGGAAGGTGCTTGGTTTTTCCCAGAAGGTGCTTGTCTTGGCTGAAAAGGTGCTTTTCAAGGTGTTCTGTTGAAAAGGTGTCGGTTTCCTCCTTCCCTCCCTCTTTTCTTTCCTTTTTTTTAACCTAAGTTATCTTAGGTTAAAAGGAGAAAAGAAAAAAAATTCTGCCCCTAGTGGTAGGAACGGATTAACTGGCTTTGCATTAGTTCTTATGGGAACTAATGATTCAAATTACAAATCACCCCTTGATCTAAGAACCAAAAACAGCTGGAACAGATTAATTGGTTTTCAGTACATTCCTATGGGAAATGCTGATTTGACTTACAAACTTTTTGACTTACAAACTTCCTTCCGGAACGGATTAAGTTTGTAAGTCGAGGGTTGACTGTATTTTTAAAAAGTGGTGGGGAGAGCTTCCACAGTGCTTTCTGGGAGTTGTTATCTCGTTGGCTTTTAAGCTATATAGGGAGTGTATCCCAAAGAACTGCAGTCTTGAGGAAGCATCGCAGCAGCTTCTTTTTTGTATATTTACAACAGGAAGTAGGCCTGAGGCAGCTGTGGAGCCTCCAAGATAAACTGTCCTCGACAAAGAACGTTGGAAATTCTTAGGACTACTCTTGTCCTGATATGATCTCTGCCAATATGTTGCCACGTCCAAGGGCTGAAAGAAGTTTGGTTTAAGTCAGATTTTCTTTCACCTGACTCACCCTTTCAATAGATTTTAGATAGCAGATCAGTTCTGCCAGCATATCAACTGGTGAAAGAAGGTTCCTATGAGGAAAAGAGAATTTTGCCTAATCTTATTGCTTGAACCTAGAAAATTTCTGTGTTAAAATTACATTATCCACTGGCGAGCTGTTACTGACTACCATTACAGACCCAGATAGTGTGGCTGCTGACCTTGAGCCAAACATTCTAGAGAGTGAAGGGGGCCTTAGAAAGCATGGCTAAGAACAAGGCCAGTGGAGGTGATGGCATTCCATTGGAATTATTTAAAATCTTAAAAGATGACGCTATTAAGGTGCTACACTCAATATGCCAGCAAGTTTGGAAAACTCAACAGTGGCCAGAGGATTGCAAGAAGAGAAGACTCCCTGGGAATGCCCCTGATGTTAGGAAAGTGTGAGGGCAAGAGGAGAAGGGGACGACAGCGGACGAGATGGCTGGACAGTGTCATCGAAGCTACCAACATGAATATGACCCAACACTGGGAGGCAGTGGAAGACAGGAGGGCCTGGTGTGCTCTGGTCCATGGGTTCACGAAGAGTCAGACACGACTTAACAACTAAACAACAACATACAGTGGTGCCTCGCATTACAATGTTAAGTCGTTCCAGCGAAATTGCTGTAGAATGAAGACATCGATTTTTAAAAGCCCATAGAAACGCATTAAAACCCGATTAATGCGTTCCTATGGGCTTGGAACTCACCGTCAAGTGAAGATCCTCCATAGTGCAGCCATTTTTGCTGCCCGTGCAGCGAGGAATCCGTCCCAGGAAACAGCGGGCAGCCATTTTGAAACCGCCGATCAGCTGTGCGAAAATCGTTGTGCGATGATCGGTTAGCGAAGCAGGGAACCGATCATCGCAAAGCGAAAATACCACATAGGAAACATCGTTTTGCGATCGCAAAAACCTCGTCATTATGCAATTTTGACGTAAAACAAAGCGCTCGTCTTGCGAGGCACCACTGTACATATTTGCCATGTAGTCCCAATCTTATGTCGGAGGAAGTGGTCTTGTCCACAAAATCTCACATTAAAATATAGCAGTTAGTCTTTAAGGTGCCACAATGTTTTTGTTTTCTTTATTTTCTATTTTTCTTTTGTTTTTGTCTTTTTTTTTTGTCTGATATGTTTCCACACTTTGATTCTGGTTATTTAACTATTGCCATTTAAAAATTATATTTATTTAATCATAAAACATTCTGATTTTTAAAATTTAAATTGTGATTTAAATCAAATCCAACCTGATCTTGGTGATGGTATTGTTTAATCATAACAGTATTTGTTATGGTTCATTCAGATCAAGTTTTGCAGTGGATATACATTTCTGAGGATAGCTAAATAATGTGCTCTTTTAGAAAACAAATTTACTGTCCCCCAAACTCTGTACAGAAATGTACTTTTTTATTGGTCTAACTGTTTTTAAATTTGTAATGCCGCCCAGGGTAGACCTTTGGTCTAGATGGGCGGGGTAAAAATCTAATAAAATAAAATGAATACTAATAAATAAATCTAATAAAATAAAATGCCTCCATTATTGTCCCAGCAGGGTAACTAACCTTCCCTCTTGTGGGATACAAGATGGAGGGTTAGATAAACCATGGGTTATAGTAATATTGACTGTCACTTGTCTGTTTGATTAATTATACTGGCAGATCCTACTTGCCGGGTAGGTGGGGCTCGTCAGCCTTGGGGAATACTAATAAATAAATCTAATAAAATAAAATGCCTCCATTATTGTCCCAGCAGGGTAACTAACCTTCCCTCTTGTGGGATACAAGATGGAGGGTTAGATAAACCATGGGTTATAGTAATATTGACTGTCACTTGTCTGTTTGATTAATTATACTGGCAGATCCTACTTGCCGGGTAGGTGGGGCTCGTCAGCCTTGGGAGGCAGCCCATTAGGAGAAGGAAAACACTGATTTCAAACCTCCACTGCCTTGTGGCTGTATCCACTGATGGAAAAGGCTTCAGGAGTTAACCTTGAGGCAAAATCCGGAGCCGGAGTCCCAGAGGCAGTTCGTGTTGTTCTGCCAACTCCTGCAACGTCACTGGAACCAATTGTATTGGCTATTGCCTTTCCATTGGACTACTTCAGCGACGTGGAGAGGGGGGATTTGCTGATTGGGTTACAGCCTGTCCTCCATATTACCCAAGCTTCGTGCTCTGGAGAGGACACTCCAGCTTCACATACAGCGTCAAAACAACACGGAAAGGGATTGCCACTCTTGAATTGAATTGAGTGGCCTTCTCAGCCACACTAGACGCTGTTCCAAGTCCTCCATACAGAGCATGTTGCCATAGTCTCTCTAGACTGAAGGATGCCTAACAACAACAACAGATCCTACTTAAAGCGATCATACAGTTTTGTTTTATCCTTTATTCTCAAGTGAATTCTTTAATAGAAAGGAAAATGGTTCCAATGATTTTAACTGATAGCCCTCATAGAGAAAATTTTAATGCTTTATAGTTATCAACCATTATTTCAGTATTAGTTTAGTTCCTTCATTTTTGGTTGTTGAAACTAAAATACTAATGTGCTCTCTGATTTCAGATTTACAGTGGTTGAATACTGAAGGTTCCCTTTCTCTCTACAAAGAACTTTGTGGGAAAATAGTAGTGTTAGATTTTTTCACGTACTGCTGCATCAATTGCATCCACCTGCTACCTGATCTCCATGAATTAGAGGAGAAGCACTCTATTAAAGGTATCAACCGTTCTGTTCCTTTTCTTAGAATATAATTTTTTTAAAGTTACCACTGATAGAATTTTTGAGGGTTACAATTAAGTATTTGGCACAATATGTCTGAACATTTTTTAAATTAAATATGATGACTCAAGGATTACTGTATCTTAATCGTTATGTCTGAGGGTCCTTATTAATTAAATTAATTTGGTCCCCCATAATGAAATTTGGAGAATGAATGCCCATCTTGCCTCCTTGTTGGAGTGGGTGGCTGCCAGAGGAGGCAGGCCCGGGCTCCTGCCCAGATTAGAGCACCACCAGAGACAAAGGACCCTGGCAGTGTGTGACAAAAAATGAGTGGCTCAGCTGGCCCAGGGAAGTGATGGTGGGGAAAAGGGTATGAGCAGCACAAATTTCATCACTGGGGACTGAATTAATTCAATCTCATCTCTAGTCCTTATCTTAGTAAATGTAAAGGTTCCCCTTGACAATTTGTCCAGTTGTGTCCGACTCTAGGGGGCAGTGCTCATCTCCGTTTCCAACCCATAGAGCTAGCACTTGTCCGAAGACACTCGTGGTCACGTGGCCAGCATGACTAGACATGGAATGCCGTTACCGTCTCATCATGGTGGTACCTATTTATCTACTCGCATTTTTGCATTTAGCATGTTTTTGAACCGCTAGGTTGGAGGGAGCTGGGACAAGCGACGGGGGGTCAGTCCTTATCTTAGGAAAGCATTTAATAGTAAAAGACTAGAATCTGCAATAGTTCAAGATTTTTTGCAGTAAATTTATTTAATGTAAGTATCAAAGTAAATCTTCATGTTAAATGTGGCCAGAATCCTGCTGTAGGATACCTTGGACATTCAGAATATAGTACAAGTGGTTGTTGCAGTTTTCTGGCTGGCTATCATGTGCCCAGGTGTGCTATCAAGGGTGTGACCTAGATATATCTGTGTGTAGCAGACATGCAAAATGATTGCACACATGAGTTGTGTAGTTTTGAATTTATACTGTGCTGACATGGAACCAATATTAACTCTTTTAAAAAGTGATAACCTGCTAGTTTTTTATTCTGTCCTTCCAAAGAACTCAGGCAGCATACATAGCTTCCTATTTATTCAGGAAATAGATGCATGAAACAACCCTCCTACATATTTACATGTTCAAACATGTTCAAGCCAACCTTCATGTAATGAGTAACTATGCTTCTTATAGCTTCAAAACTATTTATAGCTTCTGTCCTAGTTTATGAAGGTGCCTTTGTTTTTATAACAATTAAAGCATTTCTTTATTAAGCATTTTAAGTCTATATAGGTTTCAGAAAGGAGTGCATTATCAGCATAAAGTAGTGCTCTTGTGTCTATGGTGTATAAAATTCAGATGGGATAAGTGAAGGAGCAAGATAATTAGTATATTCTAAAAATATATCCTTTATTGCTGAGGCATGTGTATCAGAGTTCCAGCCTAAACTCCATTACTATTCTGACAAAGATATTTTATATTCCTGTGTGTCGTCTTAATATATAATTGGTTCATATCAAAATTCCCTCATTATGTGAGCATGAAAAGAGATAGTTGAACAACAACAAAAATGTTACATTACAATGCAAAGGTCACTGTGTATTCTTTCATTAAACCATGAACATCTGGAATTTTGTAGGTGTACCTTAGAACAGGCATCAGTGTCCACAGTAACAAATTCCTTCTAGCATATTTAGCTGATATGTTCTTCTTCTTATCATTGCTAGTGCTATTTCTGCTTTCAGAGTGGTGTGCACAAGGTTATTTTAAACCCTAATGCATTCATTCCACATCAAGAGTCAAGAAATGGCCAGTTGGATGACTGTATGAGGAAGTGCTTCGTGATAGAAATACTTTGGGACGGAGCTAGTTTACTGTTGTATGATCTTTTCAGCACACAGTTGATTGATAGAAATAGTTTGGGACGGAGCTAGTTTACTGTTGTTGTATGATCTTTTCAGCACACAGTTGAATCCAGCTTTGTTCTCACAGTCTAGAATGTAACCTCTGAGATTTCTATTTGTCACTGAAAACAGTGGACATTTACTTTGTTTTTATTTACTTTCTCCTTAAAATACCAAGATTGTCATTTTAATCAAGTTGATTTGGAAATATAGCCATTGTAAATAAATGAAACTCAGATGATGATGACGACCTTGATATAAGCTGCCCAGAGACCTTTGGGTAGAGTGGGCGGCATATAAATTAAATAAATAAATAAAATAAGTAAATAAGGATGCTGCTGTATGTTTCTGCTTTGACCCCTATAGTATGTGAAGAAGATAATATGAAAATAAAGAAAATATGAAAGTGCATGACAAACATCTCAGGATGCCTAGTAACCAAAGCTCTTAGCACATTTTTACTTTGTGTTTTCAGACATGAACAATACAGTCTGCATGCCATCCTGAACAGGAACCTGTTTTTCCATTACTGTTTGATTGGTCTTAGTTACAGCTGCATCTAATCTTTTGTTCAAGTACTGTATGTTGTAGTTTCATTCATAGGATCCCTCTTAGATGTTTCTACTGCAGCTTTTTGCTGCATACTTCCTTTCTTTTATAAAATAAATCTGATGTATGAATACTGAGAACAAAGTCACATGGATCAGCATGCATGGCATTGCTGTCTTTTGTCTACTTAATAAAAAGGAGACAAATTAACTATAAAATATATCTCACTAGTATACTATATCCTTATATAGATTAGTTGGACTTTATTAAGGTCGAGCCACTGTGATATTACTCATCTGAGAAATCCATCTTCTACTTCCAAATTTACTCCCAATCCTGACTTCAGTGATGAATTGCAGCATATTATGCTTTTCATGCTGAATTATATGCACAGGATATGAGCATATGCATTTCTGAATAATCATCTCTATTTCTTTTTGTTTTCCTATATGATGAAGTATCTCTCATTCTTTATCGGTCCATGGGATGCAAAGGATTTTTCTGTATATCTACATTTCAAAAACACTTATTCAAAAATACTGTGGAGCATGATTTAAATAAGTTTTTTTAAGCATATATACTGTGTGAGGGAAGATGCTTGAAACCAAATAGCTATCAACTTCCACAGTTCCTTGGATCTATTAACAAAGCAGAATGCTAGAATCTTATTTATGATAATGTTCTGGCAATAACAGAAGGGCAGAGAAGATTCCTGTGTGTTTTCTTTTTGTTTGTTTGTTTTAGGTGCTGGAAGTATAAGACTGCACATTTTCTTTTTATGAAAAAACAAAAGTCGTGATAAAAATTCTATGTGTTCTTTGGGCTTTTTTTGCAATGGTTAATTGGTCTTTGCAACCATTGGCCGGAATCTTGTTGCATAAATTATACCTGCATAAGAGTGATTATGTCCAAGACAGGGCAGATTTTTTATAATTAGAGAGTTTCTACTTCTGCCCGTGTCTTGTCTGGTTCACATATAAGCATTCTCATGGCATGCGAGCTGTGAGAGCCTTGAACAGACAGAGGAACTCTTTAATTACTGAAAATCTCCCTTGCTGATGACATCATCACCGTTCTGCAGGCCTAACATAAAACAGGGCCTTTCATATATTTGTATGTGCTTGTTCTGGCTGTTGTTTAAATTTGCACTGCTATTTGCTGAACTGATTAGAAAACATTTATTGGTTCAATAATCTTTAGCAAGACAAATTGTTCCATACCATTGCCCAGTACTTGTGGGATTTGATGTTGGTAATTATAAATGGTAATGCTAATAAAATTACAGTATGTAAGATTTATAATAATGCATTTGACTCTGTAGTGTATATTTAGCCTGATCCATTTGTCTATCTTTAATAAGAAAAACTGTTATTGTAGTCTTTTGGTGCATGTGTGCATTACCTGTCACTTGGTATATTGCTGTGGTGTTTCAAATGCTGCCTGTCAGTGAGCATGGTGAGATGGAAGCAAAAGATTAATATGACAGAGCTGGAAAGTGATGACAGAACCAGGGCACTGTTCATTTTAAACCAGTGCTCATGGCGGTAACAGGTAGTACATATGCCTCAGCACTAGCTCATTACAGTCAGATCCCTCATTCAGGACTAGAGAATATAGGTCCCTGAAGGCTGAAGTCCTACCATTTTGAAATGTGATACTACAGTACTAAGTAGAGGATAGTTTTTGGTACATGAGGAGGTGGAGAAGCAGGGGACATTGAAGAAATATGGCCACAAGTTTGGGTATGAATCAATTGTAAGGTTGTGCTAAGGAAAAAATGTTACTCTCATAAGAGGATTGTGTGAGTCAGATAGCCCAGGGAATGAATAACAGAGGTGACAGGGAGAGCAAAGAAGGATGTCTGTATTTTATGTATTGACTTTGTATTGCAAGTGACAGGTTTTTAGTGATTTTTCCTCCCTAGGTTTTCGTGAATACATTTGTTGTCTTATCTTTATTTGTTTGTTCATGGTTTAATTAACAAAAAAAACATTCCATCAATGATTGCTAGGCACCCTGTGGAACAAATATTCTTTCATAAAGAATGCTTAGTGTTATTTGGAATATCTGGAAAGATCCCAAGCATTTGCTTGCCAGGATGAGAAATAAGTGTAGTCATGAAACTGAAATAGTAGAATATGTGTGTTTTGTTTCTTGGTTTTTAGACTTCCCTAAAAAATGCTAAGAAAACAATTTTTCAGGTTTTGCTTTTAAAAGGGCTGTGTGTATGTGCTGAACCACAGGACCCTGTTGACACCTAACCTTTCAAAAATGTACCTTTGAGATGGGGGAAAGGAGTAATAAATTGGGAGATAACAGTGCCTTGTGCAGTGATAATTCAGATAAGGAAAAGGCTTCCACAGAATTAAACCAGTTGCAACAAAACACAAAATGCAGTTGTGATGCATGGTTTTTTTGCTTCCTACAAGAGAAGGGGAGGGTATGTACAATCATTTGCTGTCTATCAGACTGCAAGCTCTACATTCTCTCTACCTCATAGAACAAACTCGTAACAGTCACTTAGAAGTGGTTTTGGAAAAAGGAAATAGTGCAGTGGGAAAGGATTAATCAGGAAATCATTTACATTTTTCAATTATGATTTTCCCCCATCTTATTTTAAAAATTGCTGATATTTATCCATCCTGCTGAGAAATTTGCATTGGTATTAGATATTGGCATGATGTTATTTAACTCATAATATTTCAGTGTTATGAAATGGCAGTTTCAGGAAATGGATCTACATGTCGTGAATTCACCCCATGCTTTGAAAATATTCAGTGGGGCATTGACGTATGATGATAATGTACAGTTACTATAAACTTTGGCTGAGAACTTAACATTAATGTCAGGAGCAGAAGTAACGTTTTGAGAGAGACCGTCTGGACTTGAATTAGTAAACTTTATAATATATTCACAAAGGCTTTCACGGCCAAGATCTAATGGTTGTTGTGGGTTTTTCGGGCTCTTTGGACGTGTTCTGAAAGTTGTTCTTCCTAAAGTTTCACCAGTCTTTGTGGGCCGGCATCTTCAGAGGATAGGAGTAGCTACTCCTGTCCTCTGAAGATGCCAGCCACAGAGCCTGGCGAAACTTTAGGAAGAACAACCTTCAGAACACGTCCAAAGAGCCCGAAAAACCCACAACAAACTTTATACAGTAATATTGATTGTATAATCCTGCATGTATCCTATGAACTAAGTAAAATGGTGTTCTGTGGCATCTACTTCTAGATGCATAGAAGTGTAATCAGCCTTTGAAATGTTTCAGTTCTGTTTGTAAGAACAAAATATTTTAGAGATTGTTTCATGAGCATTTTTTTTAAAATGACAATGAGTGGTTTTCATTGTTTCTTTTCTTCTCTTTTAAATCTGGGCTTTCAGATGGTCTCCTTGTTGTTGGTGTTCACTCAGCAAAATTTCCAAATGAAAAGGTTCTGAATAACATAAAAAGTGCTGTTCTTAGATATAACATCACTCATCCTGTGGTGAACGATGCTGATGCAACTCTTTGGCATGAACTAGAAGTATCCTGCTGGCCAACCTTGGTCATTGTTGGACCCCGTGGGAATATGCTGTTCACTCTGGTTGGTGAAGGACACAAGGACAAATTATTTCTATTTGTATCTATAGCACTGAAGTATTACAGGGAACAAGGGCAAATCAATGCTAATCCAATTAGAACCAAGCTCTATAGAGACTCTTTGCCACCATCACCATTGCTCTTTCCTGGCAAAGTTACAGCGGACTGCTCTGGGGACAAATTGGTAATAGCAGATACTGGGCACCATAGGATTTTGGTGGTCAGAAAAAATGGTCAGATTCTGCACACTGTTGGAGGTAAGGACCTTACATTTTAAAATTTGTGTTGTTCACATAGCTCCTAGTGTTATACAGTACAAGGTGTTAAGAACTGATTTCCACACCTAGAAAATGTTGCTTTGGTTATTTTTAGCTGCCCATGATATTGGACAGACTTTCAAAGACGTGGTTTATTGTCCAACACCATGAGATACTTAATAGACACAGTATAGACAAACCGCGAAATGAAGTGACTACAAACAAAAAGATGGATTAAGGAAGGTTTTTCAACTCAATCTGATATAATTAGTGCCACAGTATTTTTATTATAATTGGGCACTTAGTTATCAGCAATTCAAAACATTCTCTGATAAACACTATTTGTTTTTGAATATTCATTTTTCCAGAAGTCCTTCATCACAGTTACAGTGGACCCTCGACTTACAGACGGCTCGACTTACAGACTTTTCGAGTTACAGACTTCTCTAGCTGCAAAATTTAGGTTCGACTTGCAGCCAGAGAATTGACCTACAGACCAGAAAAAAACAAACAAAATGGAAAAAAAATGGCCGGTTACAGAATTAATCGGTTTTCAATGGAGACTCAACCTACAGACTTTTCGACCTGCAGCCACGTTCCAATACAGATTAATTCTGTAAGTAGAGGGCTTAATCCGTATTAGTTTGATCATATCTCAAAGCATATACAGTGGTGCCTTGACTTAAGAACTTAATCCGTATTGGAACGGTGGCTATAAGTCAAAACGTTCTTAAGTCAAAGCACCATTTCCCATAGGAATGCATTGAAAACCGATTAATCCGTTCTGGCTATTTTTTGTCCTTATGTTAAAGCATTAGTTCCCATAGGAACTAATGCAAAGCCGGTTAAGCCATATTCTACCACTAGAGGGAGAATTTTTTCTTTTTTCTTCTTTTGACCTAAGATGAACTTAGTTGGAAAAAAAGGGCAGGAAAGTTTTTTTTTCTGTTCATAAGTCAAGACACTGTTCATAACGCAAAGCAATATTTCGCATCCAGAGCTGTTCGTAACTCAAACGTTTGTATGTCAGAGCATTCGTAAGTCAAGGCACCATTGTACCTTGTACACAGTTCAAACCTTATTGTGGAAATATAACTTACAATGCTAGTATCTTCTCTCTGTTCCAGTTAACTTCATAAGAGATGTTTCCACAATAGTGATTATGCTTTTCTCTAATGTTGCCATCTTGTTGAGCTAGATGGCTCCTGCTGTTCCACCTTTATAGATTGTTATCATTCATCACTAGAAGCATTGAAATAATTATAAGTTAAGAAAAGTCTAAAATCCATATCAAGGTATAGCTCACATTAGGATAGCAAAGGCTTATGCACAGTTTTTTTGCCCTTTCAATAAATGTTGCACAATTTTTGTCCTTTTAGTTAATATAGCTTTATTTTTTAATTTAAAATATTTTTACCCAATCTTTCTCCTAAAATGGACCCATGGTAGCTTACATCATTTAAAGATAATATTTAAAGCTAAGAACAATGAATATAAAAAGGCGGTTTACATCATTAAAATATGATATTAAAGCTAAAAACAATGTATACAAATATGAAAAAGGAACAAATACCACTCTGAGAAATGATAAACACAAGTAGTACTAAAAACACAATCAAAGCAATAAGAAGCATTGGAGCAATGGCTCCAGTGTTGTGGAATCAGCTTCTGGAGGAGCTTTGCTTGGCCCTCTCCCTGTGGACATTCAGGAGGCAACTGAAGATGTGGCTTTTTAGGGAGGATTTCCACACCAACCTAAGTTGACCACTTTTTGCCGCTTTTTCACTTTATTGTTTTAGCTCCATTGTTTTTTATTGGTTCACTGTTACACTGGTTTTAAATAGTTTTAGCATTATCTCAGGTTTGTTTTGTTTTGCTTAGTATTGTAAACTGCCCAGGGTAGTGCCTTGGCACTAATGAGAAACAATAAACACATTTAAGTAGCAAAAGAAATGAATAAAAATTCCTATCAGGTAGCCAGTCACTGAGAGAAAGGTCTTTGCCTGCTTGCAGAAGGACAGCAAAGATGGGGCTAGTCTGGCCTCTCATGGAAGAGAATTCCATAGTTTGGTAGCACCAACAGAGAAGACCCTCTTTTGTGTCCCATCAAACACACTTGTAAATAACATTAACCTAAAAGGATTTTGGTATTTTTCTTATGGCCAACAGAATTACATCTGTGTATAAAAGTCAGAATCATTGTGTGCTAATTGTGGTATACTGGGGTAGCATATTGTTTTCTGGAAGACATTGGATTTTCTTTTATGTTTGCTGAATTGATGAGGGGAATTTTTGCTGAATCAAGGTGAATTTAAGTGCTATGCAATTCCCCTGAAATAAAACTGGATTTTACTTTGATCACCAGTATGTAAGTCTTGGAGATTTCCTAACAACCAAATCTAGTTGTTAGTCCCAGAAATGAACTGCTGGATGGCTCTGTGGTTTAGATATCTAGGTGCAGAGCCAGAGGTTGGAATTTCAATTCCTCACTGTGCCTCCCTGACAGGAGCTGGTCTTGATGATCCACAGGGTCCCTTCCAGTTCTGGAATTCTAAAATTATGACAGTGGTGCCTCGTATAACGAGTGCCCCGTTTAACGATGAATCCGCATAGCGAAGGGTTTTTTGTGATCGCTTTTGCGATCGCATTGCGATTTTTTCCCCATAGACCCCATTTTCCCCCAGCTGAGCAGCGGGAGCCTCCGAAGGACCGCTCCCGCCGCTCAGCTGGGGGAAAATGCTGGCAGTAGCCACCGCCGGGATTCCCCTTCGCAGGGGGCATTTTCCCCGAGCTGAGCGGGAGCGCCGCTGCTCAGCTGGGGGGAAATGCCGGCGGTAGCCTCCGAAAGACCCTGGGGGAGCTGGGGGAGAAGGCAGGAGCCGATCTGTCATTTCTCCTCCACCGGGCACCTCTTCCGCTGCTGTAAGCAACATCAGGACAGCCCTTTGGGAGGAGCCGGGCTGTGGAGAAGGAAGGCTGAAGCCGATCCAATCCTTCCCCCCCCCCCATCGGGCGCAGCTCTTTCGGAGAAGCCTCCCGGTGGGGGGGAAAGATTGGATCAGCTTCAGCCTTCTTTCCCCACAGCCCGGCTTCTCCCAAAGGGCTGCCCCGATTGTGCTTACAGCAGCGGAAGAAGTGCCCAGTGGAGGAGAAGGCAGGAGCCGATCAGTCATTTCTCCTCCCCCGGGCACCTCCTCCGCTG